TACAGTATCCTGATGCATGCTCAATAATCCAGGGTTTATTCATACAGGTAAATCCCATCGAGCCTCGCGGACTCATTTACAAGAGAGACCTGATTTAACAAAGAGTGATGACAACAGTGGACAAAAGAGGCATAGAAATTATAATTAATTTTTACAAATCAAAACAACAGTCAAAAGGAAAAGTAGCGGACCCCCCCCCCCCCCCTCCAGAAAACTAACAACAGGAACATGTGGGTTTTGTCAGGAACTCAACATGTTTGAAGCCACTCAGAGAGGTCAAGGTCAAGTAAAGTAGATGATATGAAACAAAACAAACGAGGTTCTGTGTTGATTCGAAACTTTAGAAGTTGTAACAATGGTCAGGTCATCTGGACAGTTTCTTTTGTTGTTGAGACGTTTCACCCTCCATCCGAAGGGCTTCGTCAGTCTGAGAAGACTGATGACGCCGACTTCTCAACAACAACAACAACAAGAAACTGTCCAGATGACCTGACTGAAGACTGTTGGATTTTTTTACCTGGATGATTGAGCCTGAAACTTGATGTGTTAGAAGTTGTTTATATTTTCCCTAATTAACTGTGAGGGTTCGTTTGATGCTGGTTGAATCAGAACCTGGACCCAGCTGGATAATCTCTGGTTCTGAGTCTGACTGGAGGTAAGACGTCAGTCGGTATTTTGATGGAACGTCGCGGCTCGTGGAGCTTTAATCTGTTGGTTAATGATGATGTTCCAACATATTCCAGTTTGAAGAATTAGTTCTAAATGTTTAACAAAGTTGAGTCAGGTCCTCTGGACGGATGCAGCTTTGTTAGATTTTTCTTTCTGGGCTGTTGAGCATGGATGGTTTAAATTTTAATTTAAATTTTAATTTAAATGTTCCTTTTTCACGTTTAATAAAACTTTAACGTTAGATTTTTAAAACAAGAACAACCAAATATTTTAATTAAATAAAACTTAACAGCTTACATAAACCTTTAAATTAATTCAGTCTGGGACAAAGCAGAATAAAAACGTGAACTTCATAAGAACTGCGGGGACGGATGGATTTGGTCCAGTTTTAGCAAAGAAGACTCAACAAACAGAACCAAGACAGAAAGAAGAACTTTCAGGTTTGGTCCCTCTGGAGCTGCTGCTGGACGTGGATCTGATGCAGACGTCTCCTGTGTTGGACACATTCAGTCGTCTCACTTTGTCCTGACTGAACTGTGAGAAGGTCCAACTTATTTCTGGGGGTAGTTCTGTGACGTTTCCTCAGAAAGAGGATGAACTTTTGTCATGAGGGACGCCGGAGCTGCTCCGCCTGTTGTCACAGGAGCACTTCAGCATCAAGCAGCCTCAACCTCAGACCCTGTCCACCTCCTGGACCTGTTCTGTCCCAGCATGTGTCCACCTGCTGGACCTGTTCTGTCCCAGCATGTGT